AAAGTGATGTTGACCAATTATATTTACCAAGAGCAGAGGGTGGTCGAGGACTCCTACAAGTAAAGCAGACTGTGGAAGAAGAAAAACACAGCTTGAATGATTACATCCAGAAAAGTGAAGAACCAATGATTAAGGAAGTAAATAAAGGAGGCTTTTTAAAGACAACTAAAACAAAAGCAGAATATAAGAAAGAAGTAATTGAGCAGCGAGCTGAAAATTGAAAAAGCAAAGCTCTGCATGGCCAATACTTGAAAAGTATTGAAGGCAAAGCTGACCAGAAACTAACTTGGAACTGGTTAAGATCAGGAGTACTGAAAAAAGAAACAGAAAGCTTTATTTTGGCAGCTCAAGAACAAGCCCTAGCCACAAACTGCATGAAGACAAAAATTCAACATGTTACCCCCAACAGCAAATGCCGCCTCTGCAATGAGAAAGATGAGACAGTCGACCACCTGATCAGTGGATGCAGCAAAATTTCACAAACTGACTACCTACAATGCCATGACCGTGTTGCTAAGATCATTCACTGAAAATTGTGCCAGAAGTTTGGATTTGAATACAGCAAAAACCACTGGGAACATCAGGTTGAGAAAGTTTTAGAGAATGAGAAACTCAAGATCTTCTGGGACTTTAGGATTCAGACTGACAGGCACTTGGTCCACAACACACCTGACATAACAATAGTTGAAAAGAAAAAAGTATGGTTCATTGACATTGCAATACCTGGTGATGCACGGATTGAAGATAAGCAGCAAGAAAAAATCACAAAGTACCGGGACTTGCAAATTGAAGTTGAGCGACTGTGGAAAAAGAAATTGTGTGTTGTCCCGATTGTAATTGGAGCCCTAGGAGCAATACCCAAAGGGCTACCCCGCTATTTAGAAATTCTAAATTTGCCGGACTTGAACATTTTGACTCTACAAAAAACCACCTTACTCGGAACAGCTTACATCCTCCGACGATACCTTAACAGTTCCTAGGTCCCTGGTTAGGACTCGAGCTGCTGGGCTATTAACCAGCCTCAAATAATAATAATAATAATAATCAACAACTTTGGACTTGAAAAATGTGCTATATTATCCATGCAGCAAGGAAAAATGGAAACAATAGAAGGAATAGAACTAGGAAATGGAAACAAAGTAAAAGCATTAGCAAAGGATGATGGTTACAAATATTGGAAGCAGATAACATCTTGAATGGAAAAGTCAAAAAGTCAACGCAAAAGGAAGGTCCGCAAAATATTAAAATCAAAGCTGAATGCTGGAACATAATTAAAAGCATTAATACAAGGGCTGTTCCAGTGATACGCTACTCAGCTGGAATTATCAACTGGACTTTGGCTGAACTGGAAAACTTGGACCGGAAAACGTGCAAACCTTTGAATATGTACCACGCTTTACATCCACGAAGTGACATTGACAGGTTGTACCTGCCAAGAAAAATAGGGGGCAGAGGACTATTGCAAACCCATCAAACTATAGAAGAAGAAAACGTGAACCAAAGTACAGAAAAATTGCTGCAGGCTGTGAAAACAGAGAACATTATAAAAACAACAGAAACAAAAGCAGAATATAAGGAAAAACAGCTTGATGACAGATTAAATAGATGGAAAACCAAAGCTTTGCATGGACAGCGCTTGAAAAACATTGAAGGAAAATGTGATGACAACTTTACATGGGCATGGCTTAAGATGGGAACCATCAAGAAAGAAACAGAAGGTTTAATACTCGCTGCTCAAGAACAAGCACTACAAATTAATGCCATGAAAGCAAAAATACAAAAATCCACCGACAATCCAACTTTGCAACAACAAAGTCGAAACTGTTTCACATTTAATATGTGAATGCAGCAAAATCGCACAAATTGATTACAAAGCTAGACACGACGGAGTTTCAAAATTAATTTACTGGTCATTATGTAAAAATACAACTTACCTGTATCCAAAAAGTCATGGGAACATAAAGTGGAAAAAGTTATAGAAAATGAAAAGGTGAAGATCTTGTGGGACTTTTGAATACAGACAGATTGTCATTTGGAACACAACACGCCAGATATCACAGTTGTCAGAGACCGAAACATACAATTTATTGACATCACGGTACCAGGAGATGCCAGAGTCGAAGAAGAAGAACTGGAAAAAATCATGAAATATTGTGACCTGGCCATCGAAACTACACAGCTGTGGATGAAACATGTAACAGTGATACCCATTGTCATCGAGGCACTTGGTACCATCTCCAAGAATTTTATAAGATAACAAATTGCAGCTTCCTGCAATAACGTTTTAATAACTTGATAAGGATTTGATAGACAAAAATGCCAAACCCAGTCTGAATATCTGGCTGACTGTACGAATAATAATAATAATAATAATAATAATAATAATAATAATAATAATAATTTTTGAATGTTCAGTTGATTGAGTTTCATATTTAATGAATAAAGATAATAATAATAATAAAAATAAAAATATGATATCAACAATATAGGTGATACTTTGAATATATGAAAATGTTTATCAGTTTTCAAATATTCAGTAATACCTCTTCTTGTTACAGGAGCAAGAAAGCAAGTGGAAACATATGCCCATTGGGCAGCAAATATTTTTCTTTTCTTTTGAACTATAATATGAAGACATGAATTCCAGATTTGTGAAAAATGTTCTAATCCTCACTCTTGACGACTGCTAGATATTTCTTAAAAAGTAATTTATATGATCAACAGTCTCATTTTGATTGCATCTATTATTCAGAAAACACTATACAGATTGGTGTCATATTTCTTATCTATTTATCCAATATGGAGAACGTGATGCTTCTTTAGATGAAAAACCCAGAGTTATTTCATTTGTAACTAGACCTTTAATATATCTGCTGAGTCCGGTAATACAAGATGAAAGGAAAAGAGAAACAGGCATGGAGGGTGGGGGTAGCAAATTAGATTTGATCTATGGAAGGAGCAGGAATTGTTTTTTCAGAGAGCAGTTTGAGGTTCTAGTTGAATAAAGGTAAAGGTTTCCTCTGTCCAGTCATGTTTGATTCTAGGGGCAGTGCTCATCTCCGTTTCTTGGCCAAGGGAACCAATGTTGGTAGAGGACAATTTCTGTGGTCATGTGGCCAGCATGACTATATACCGAGGAGCACGGAATGCTGTTACCTTCCCACTGAAGTGGTACCTATTTATCTACTCGCATTTGCATGCTTTCGAACTGCTAGGTGGCCAGGAGCTGGAGAAAGTAACAGGAGCTCACCCTATCACGCAGCACTTGGGTCTTGAACCCGGACCATCAGCTTTCCAATTGACAAGCTCAGTGTTCTTAACCACTGAACCATTACGGTCTATTCTACCTAAAGACACTTTCTCAAAACTTCAATATAGTAAGTGACCATTAAACATAAAACAAAATTAAAACAAAACATCAAAGAAATATGCTTTTGGCTTGGTTTGAAATCTTGTTTTGTTCATTAAGAAAAGCAGGTTTTTCCCCATCAGTTATATTGGTTACATTGTTTTGCTTCAATAATACATATAGACGGGATGAAGACAATTGTCTTTTTCAGATGTCCACTTTACCTGACCATAAATACAATTATGTGGGATCCAGATGTCTTCTTTAAACAATTCTCTTTCAGCAATATAGCAATTGCACTTAGACTTACATATCACTTCAGAGTGCTTTACAGTCCTCTCTAAGCGGTTTACAGAGTCAGCATATTGCCCCCAACAATCTGGGTCCTCATTTTATCCACCTCAGAAGGATGGAAGGCTGAGTCAACCTTGAGCCTGGTGAGATTCGAACTGCCAAATTGCAGTCAGATGGCAGTCAGCAGAAGTAGCCTGCAGTATTGCATTCCAACCACTACGCCACTATGGCTATTCTACTTTTCTAGTAACAAAATCTCTGTATTGTTACCAGATATTTTATGGGGAGACAGAAAGAAGGGTGTTTTCTCAGTATTTTTTAAGTCTATTAAAAAATTTGCAGCTGTAATATTTTAGATCACACACATAAAAGCCCCATTCAAACCTTCTTCCAGTTTCCTATTTGGTATATATGTGTGCCTGCAATGGACTTCCTCGGGTTCTCCTGAACACAGAGAGAAGCCTCCATACAACAGCAAATTTGCATTATTAGGAACTCCAACTGTGCAAAGGGGTGTAGTCTTATCCAAGGAAATGAACAGATAAATAAATACTTTAGGTCAGTCCAGTCATTGATTCTGGGTGGCTCAACTGAAACCTCCTTTCAGAAATGTCGGGGATTTAAAGTAAGGCCAGTGCATCTGAGGGCTTTCAGATTTATGTACAGATGGATGTATGCATATATGTATGTATTTCCCACCTTTTTTATTTTTACAAACAATTCAAGAACATACACAATACTCTTTCCTCCTGCTCTTTTCCACACAACAACCCTGTGAGGTGGGTTAGGCTGAGGGAGAGTGACTGACCTAAGGTCACTCAGCTGGCTTTCATGGCTAAAGCAGGACTTGAACTCACAGTTTTGTGCTTTCTAGCCTGGTGCCTTAACCACTAGAGCAAACAGTTTAAGTTCTGACTCTGTTCAGGAAGAAAGTATGAAAGGCTCTGAGTTATTTCTGTATGATTAGCTTGGGTTTCCAATTCTGGGAGTCTGAGCTATATGAGTAGGGAAAGCTACTTAAATTTGTGTAGATGTTGGTAGGAGGCAAAAATATAAGAAACCAATGGGATAACTTCCTGTATTTCTGCTGTCCAATGAAAATCAGTTTTTGATTTAAATGCCAGAGAAATTGTCCAAATAAATGCTTACCAAGGCATTTTAAAATGATTGTGTGTGTGCTTCTGGTATTTGTGATTATTCCTATAGTAGCTTTTAACTATATATTGACATATAAATAATACACATTTAAAAATACAGTTCTGATGATTGATGCCAGAAGAATTCAAGATCCTTTCCATTTTGGGGGGAAGGGGGGAGAGAGAGAAGAAATATAATAAACTGAAGTGAGTGTGGTAAATTAATTTGTTAAACACATTTATTGAATTGTTAACAATAACCAAACACAGTGTATGACCTTTGTAAAACAAGAAACAGAAAAATGGATTAATTCCAGTCTTGGCAGTTCCTACTACAGGTATGTGATGAGGGGGAAAATATTTCAATTTCCTTTATATTCTTCAGTGATCTATTTACAATACTTATCTTGGCATCTGTCCATTATTAAGCAAATGGAAAGACTATGATCCAGAAATAAATCTCCCTTACTATCTCCCTAGTTCTGCTTTGCCAGTAACCAATAATGAGGGTGATATGACAGCTTTCCAAGGATTACTTGGCACACAGAACACAAATCCACTTGGATGGCAGCAGCAAACCACCTTTTTAATGGAGTTATGATGGGAAAGAGAAGAAGGGAGAAGGGGAACAGAGGAAGAAGTTCATATATACAAAGTCTGAACAGTCTTTTCATTGTGGGCGATAGTAGTTTCAGGAAAACAGTATCAAAATTGTAATCATGGGAATGGCAGATATTGTCTTTTTTTTTTTCTTATGACTGATCATATGAATACATTTCATTGAGCTGAATTTCCAACTTGGCATCCTTTTCTCTCAAGTGTGGCTCCATGAAGTACAAAGACCGAGGACTGAATGGGGCTGGGGCATTCTGTAGTATATCAATTCACAGTAGTAGCATTCCGTTGAGGTGAAAACTTCTTCCCGTTTAGTGTCTTAATTACTTCAGGAGCCATTCATTTACTGAAAGAGAAAAAACAACACCCAATAACCATGGGAAAATTTCCACAATGACACTTTATTTTTCTCTTAAAGATCACTGAAATATAGATTGTGGAGTCAGTTACTTAGGATAAAACCAAATAAATAAATAAATGTGTAAATAAATATATCCTAACTGGATAATAGTATACAATTTCCAGGGCTTTTTCCAGCATTTGAAATGCTGGTATGTCTGCCTGTGGATGGGGTAGTGGGAACAAGGAGATAATGAGGTTATTATAGATTCTGATGTCCTGCTGGTAGAAGAAATCAAGCCTTGCCTTGAAATCAAGCTTTGGAGCCAGAACTTGTCAGAAGTGCATGTATTTCAAAAAAGAAGTCTAACATTGGTTCTTACAGAGGAGAGAAAGTTTTCGGGATTAGTGAAAGAGAATGAATATTTCATAATTGTTCACAATATCTCAAAATGTGTCACTTGCTTTACATTCAATCAGATTATTAATCCATCTAACTCAGTGGTGATGAACCTATGATAACATGTGTCAAAGGTGACATGACATGACATTTTGGGTGACACATCATATTTACATGCAAGCAGAGTCGAATTAGGTGTTTTTTTAAAAAAATTGACATACCAAGCCCAAAAGATTCGCCATCACTGATCTAACTTGATATTGGTTATACTAGGGTCTGGGCAGTAACTAAATCTGGGATTTTCTACATGGTCTTCATGGATCATTTGAAGAAACTAGCTGTATCAAGTGCTGCTTGAAAAAATGTGGAATTTAAGATATGCTGACAAGTTGAAATATTTTCACGTTATTATTCTTTGTATGTAATTGTAAAACGGAATGTCCAAGCTGCCTAACTACATCTTATAAAAATGTAATTTTCAAGAGAGAGTGTTTATTATCAAAGGCCTAAGAACAAACATAATTTTGAAAAGTAAATGAAATAGGAATATTGAGAGAAATCTTTCAGGTTGCCTTAGTCCAGAAAAGCATGGCCTCTTCTACTGAGCTCCAGTCCCTTGCAAACATTTCTTGTTAGGAAGGTGGCTTCCATGAAAACAGATGTATTCATGTTTGTCTTCCCATATACCACCCTTTTGTGTATATATTTGTAAGATGGAATCATTATTATTTTGTTCTAATAAGCATTTCATAGGGCATGTCAGATATCTTGGGCTTAACTCCTGCTAGTTATGGGGGTTCAGGTCTAAAACCCCTGGAAGATACTGTATAAGGAACACTGGTTTAAATTAGAACAGTGTCTTTCAAACTTGGCAACTTTAAGAAGTGTGGACTTCAACTCCCAGAATTCCCCAGCCAGCATGGAGAATTCAGGAACCTGAAGTCTACACCTCTTAAAGAAACCAGATTTGAAAAACACTGGATTAGAAGGTTCGTCAGGGAAGGGAGTGGGACTGGCATTCCAAAATAAAAGAGAAACAGTTGTTCCAGAAAGAATTGTACTTTTAATTTCCTGGCTGCCAGTGTTTTTCTTTTTAAGAAAAGATTTCTTACTAAAAAAGCAAAACGAAAGAAAACTACACCCTATTTCTTCTCCTTGATCACCAAATAAGTTATGCCAACCTGGGAAAGAGGACTAATTAAGTCTGTGAACTCTTGTTGTGTTTGTTCTTGAACCTTAAAATCTGGGTTTTGTTGCCTATAAATGATTCCACTGTTTTGAAACCCAGTGCATGTTATGCAGAATCCTTTAGGAAGGTAATTGTCTCTATGATGTCTTTAGATTCTTCAAGGATATTTATTTTCAACTCCAACCTCTGGTCCAGCTCATTTCGTTCATACCCAGTAGCCAGAACTCCAAATATCACCATGCCAGACATGTTTTGCCCCCTCAGGAAGCCTTATTTTTCTGAATGTTTAGAAGCCTCCTTAGAAGACTGAAAGAGCTGTCTTCTATAGTGGCAGAACATATATTTTCCATATCAAAAATCCCAATTTTAATCCTAGCATTTCCACCCGCTCACCAGGAAGCAGGTGATTGAAAGATCCTTGTCCGAGACTGTGAAGAGAGGTGATTAAAGTAGAAAATATTGGGCCTGACAAACAAACAATTTAACCTGGGATACGGTAGATCAAACTTTCCTAATCTGACATTGTAAAACAAAGGGGATTCCAAAACGGAAAACATTATGTTGAAATGAATATAGTGTTTGGAACATACCTCTATACTGTAGTTTCTGTGCTCTATTGTTCGGGCAATCTTTCCCTTGTAAACTAAAGTTGATGTTTGTTCGGATACATCGATTGTTGAGAGGCTGGACTGGTCTGAAGTTATCACTCATACTCAGAAAAATCTGTGAAGGCTGATTCTGGCTTAGTAACCGTAAAGAATGCATCTGCATAAATATAAAAAGTGAAGACAGAGTGAGATTGACTTTTAATCTTAATGTTTGAGAGCAAAATATGAGTTGCTAACTTAGGTAATGTTTAACAGATTTTTGATAATTAGGACCAGATGATGATGTTATAAAGGTTTTGTTTATTTGATGAGAGATGATAGGAGCATTTATTTAAATAGAAAAGGAGAACAAAGAAAATAAATGAGGAAGAATTCAAATTGGGTTCATTAGATATTTGTAATACAGGCTGTCTTGGATTTGCAAGAGATTGTTTAGTGACCATTCACAGTTACAATGGCACTGAAAAAAGTGATCAAAATTTGGATGCTTGGCAACTGATTCGTATTTATGACAGTTGCTGTGTCCCAAAGTCATGTGATCCCCTTTTGAGCCCTTCTGACAAGCAAAGTCAATGGGGAAGCCAGATTCACTTAAAAACTGTGTTATTAACTGCACAACTGCAACAATTCACTTAATAAATATGGCAAGAAATATTGTAAAATGGGGCAAAACTCACTTAACATTTGTCTCACTTAGCAACATGAATTTTGGGCTCAGTTGTGGCCATAAGTCGAGGACTACTTGTAATTTTGTTATTTCTGATAATTCTTAATGGACTTTTGCTGATTAAGATGGCTTGGTGAGGTTTTAAAAATTGGTTGGTAGAGAAGGGGCTGCCTTATGCAATGAAGAGATGGTTGGTTTTATTTGAAGAGGTGGTGATAAGATATTAAGGTTGATTAAACTTGCTAAGGACGAAGGGGGAGAGTTCTTTTTTCTTTCTGTGCACTTTTTAAATTCAATTTTTTATATAAACATATTTTTTCTTTTAATGTATTTTATACTATGTAGATTATATCCGTTTTACATGGATAATATAATCTTTAATAAAATTATTCAGCAAAGAGAGCAAAACATGAAGCTAATTATAATCTGGGACAATTGGTGAACAGGAATTTGGCCAATTATTGTGAGGGTGGTAATAAATCAGCACTGTAAGAATAGTACAGAGCCATTTAGTATCTCTTGAGAGTGAATTGTACAGCCTTTGAATGTCATGGAAATGGTAGGTGGATTGACTTTGTCCATTACACACACACACACACACACACACACACACACACACACACCGTTTCTAGAGACATGAGTAAAGTTTCAGAGAATCAGTCCTACTCTATATCCAGTAGAAATTATTTATCAGTATCATTCTGAAGCTGTTTAAGATAAACTCTTGTTGGAGCTGAGAGTTGACAGAGTTTTCTTGGCAACTATCTGCTGCCACTTTTTTCAGGATTCAGGATTCAGTCTATCCTATGGCCCTATTTTTTCATGGTCTCTCATGAAAATTTTAAGCAGATCCGTTTTTGCTTAGCTTATCCAGATCAGTGAAAGAAAACTAGATGTTGTCACGAGCTGAACTAATTGAAGATAAATGGAATTATTTTAAATACACTTTACTTCAGAACAACTAAATATAGGATTGCAGCTCAAATCAATAGAAGGCATAGATTAGCATTATTCTTCACAATTCATTATTAAGAAGGACAAAATAGTGACTCATTTCCCTTTTTTTCAGATATAATGACCTTGAATACATGACAAAGAGACATTTTTTATAAAAGGAAGACTGCTATGACCAAGATAAGCTGCTGGTGGGATAATGTTGCACTTGAATTAGAGCAGGTGTCTCAAACTCAATTTCACTGAGGGTTGCATCAGGGTTTGTTTGACCTGGGGAGGGATGGGGGCGTGGTCAGCTTGATGTCACTCGTGTCGGGGGCGCCTGTGGTGCCAGAGTGCTTTGCCAGAGAAAATGGGCTCCCTAGTTCTGTTTTCAGCTGTGACGGCTTCCTGTGATCCTCTGCCAGCGAAAACGGAGCTCAGGATGGCCATGCATGGCCCTCCCAAGCTCCGTTTTTGTTGGCAGAAGCACCACCGGCTGGTCTTTCACTGTGGGCCAGATCTAAGCACCTCGCAGCAGGTCAGATCTAAGCACCTCGCAGCCCGGATTCGGCCTGTGGGCCTTGAGTTTGACACTCCTGAATTAGAGGAGATATGGCAAAGCTCTTCCCCTAAACAGGACTGTAATGTTTAAGGCTGAGATAAACTGAAATGGTTTGTCTCATTTTATGGGCAGCGGTGGGAGAAATTGAAAGAATCTCACTATGACAGAAAAGCAAGTCTTTTCCTTCTGTCAATTTTTCGAAGTTCCACTTGTAACTTATTTTTCTTTTCATCTTCTTGTCTTACTACCAAATGTAATAATTGTGCTCCAACTGCCATTACTTCTTCTGCCTCTTAGAAGGCTTTTGACTTCATTGTAGCAATTTCGAAAGATATTTTAAAAAAGAACAAAAACATTAGTATTTAAGCGGGGAACCTTCCATTGCACATTTAGCCCTCTGAAGCACCCAAACATTTTGCCTTCTCCTTGAAAAAATGGTTAAACCTTTTACAACCCGTTCTTTCCCTCCATATGAGGTGGAGAACAGTGATAATAACTTTCAAAAATGCAAAATTTGAAAGTTGTGGGATTCTTTTTAACTTCTCTATTGGAGACTGGCTAATTTACCATGGCTTTCCAGAAAAATAAGTACATATTTCTGAAGGCACAGCAATTATAAGAATTCATTATTTCCAAAGGTAATGTATCATAGCCAATAAAGGTTTTCATTTTACCTGCATTCTTGATATGTAGACAGGTTTGTTCATTAGTATCCAACTTGCTGTTTCATAGCAGGGTGGAATTGTCATGGACCCATCATATGTAATGAAACTAGAGGTTTCAGGATAAAGTTCCTCAATATTAAGTCCCTGCAGTAAGTATGCATCATCTAGGAAATAAATGATGGTAAAATTATTATGAGACCAGAGCATTCGCATTTGTGAGATGAAGATCACCAACTGTCAGAGTTTAACGGGTAATTAAATGGATCTAAATCAGGAAAATGTTTGAATTGCTAGGCTACTCTGCCAACATTTATACATTGGAGCAAGTTAAGTTGTCTCTAGGAGTGGGCAATCTGCAGCTGCAAATCCTGGTTTGTTTCTCATTTCCCACAAAGCTCTTCCACACACGATGAGCAAAAAATGATATTGTGATTTCCTTGTCATTTCAAGGTGCGTGATGTAGCGGACCATAGTTTACAAAGGAAGAAAAGTCCAAAGCTCTCTCCTAAAACGTGTCCTGGTGAACATTGGCTTTGAGATCCCTGCTACCCATTCTTGAAGCATGTATTTTAATGACACAAAGGATCACTCATAATCCCCTCCCTGGCTATTTGGGCTTGTGTAGCAGAGTGATGGCAACAGGTACACATAGTACACGTAATGTCTGACTGGTACTTGGTCAGGCATTACATCAGGGGTGTCAAACTCAAGGCCCGCAGGCCTGATCCGCCCCATGGGCTGCTCAGATCTGGCCAGCATGGCTGCACTGGAAACAGTGAAGGACAGGCCCGTGGTGCCTCTGCCAACAAAAACAGAGCTCGGGAGGGTCACCCGTGGCTCTCCCGATCTCTTTTCACTGGCAGAGGATTGCAGGAGGCTGTTGCAGCCAAAAACGGAACTCGGGAGCTGTTTTCACTGGCAGAGCGCTTGAGCTACTACAGGCGCCCCCCACAGGCATGACATTGAGCTGTCCACACACCCCGCCCCCCTTTGCAGGCAAACACAACACTGATGTGGTCCTTAATGAAATCGAGTTTGACACCCCTGAATTACACAGACTCCTTATCTACAAGGGCCTATGGTCTGGTGTGACACTGTAAGATATGTGAGGAAAAATTGTCCTGACTAATAGGTAACTCATGTGGTAGAATGATGCTTGATTGAGAAAGTGTGAGAGAGAGAGACGTAAAAGTGCACAAGGAAATTGAGTGAAAAGGAAGCAATTGACTTACACAGGTGAGTGAGAACAAGTTAGGAGAGATAATGTGTGAATGGTGGACAGGGGCTTCCCAGGAAGTAGGAAGAGCATGAAGCTTCACTCACATTACAAATTTAGATCTGACAGCTGGCTAAAAGTGTGAGTGGGTAAAGTCATTTGCTAAAACTTGTGTGGCTCTGAGATCTTGGCCTTCTCAGAAGGGAAGGCTTGGTCTGTATATAGCATAAGCAGAATATTATGTACCAAAAATCAAAACGGAATGAAAGTTCTGCTAAAAAAACAGAAAAAAATTACAGAGAAGGGGGTGGGGAGTAATTACATTAGCAATAATCAGCTTAGTTCCTATCCACATTGCTGGTAAATTAATTCTCATTCTTTAGTAGGACTTTCATTCCAACTGGATTTGTTTTGTTTTTTTTCTACACTGTATTCTACCCACGCTATATAGAAAGCATTTTGTTTGTCAGAAGGATCTCTTCTCACTTAGCTTTTTCCTCATGATGTACTCCATTGTAATGTACTGTTTATGTAGCAGGCAGTCATAAGAAGATGTATGGAAACCATAAGGTGCAACAATTTTGCATTATTATGCTCTTGTGGGAAAAGTCCTTGGGCTTCCTCAAACCTATTGCTAATAATCTTCCAGAATGCCAGTAGTATTCTGATTTTGCAATAAACTTTAAGACCAAAAGCTAATAAACAAGAGGACAAGAAAATGTGATCAGAAGGAATTACATGAGTATCTTTCTGCTTATAATCTAATAAAATAAACATTTACTGATATTCATATGGATATCACACACAGCGTAAAACTACAGGCTATGCTTTCTTTATGCCAACAAGTACAGCTTGCTTCACACACACAAAGTCACTACTTCACACTTGGTTTTGAGGACCAAAGAGAGACTACTTAATTTCTTTGAGGAAAGGCAGGGCAGATTAGAACAGTTAAAAGAATTAACATTTCTTATTTTGTTTCAGAGTATCATCGTGGGAGACAGATTGAAGGCACCCAGGAGCTAAATTTATGAGATAATTTAAGTGCAAGTCCCAACCAGGACTGGAAGGCACATCATGGGAGCTTGATCAAAGATATAATGGACTGATCCCAAATGCAAGATTCTTACTCTTCATATACTTTCTTGTTTTGAAAGAATCAACTCCCATTCTGAACAATGTAAAAGCAGCTGTGCTAGACCCAAAATGGCCCCGCAACAAGCAGGAACCTCACACAGCCACAAAAAACCCCCCCCAAAAAAACCTTACACACACACAACACAACACAACTGGCTCACTCACAATGTAAAAGCAGCTGTGCTAGACCCAAAATGGCCCCTGCAACAAGCAGGAACCTCACACAGCCACAAAAAGCCCAAAAAAACCAACTTTCACACTTTACACACACAAAATTCCACATACAGCTTTGTGAGATTACACACTAAATCTCAGAAAGCTGCACAAATATTATTTTATTTTATTTTTATTTTTATATAAAAGCAGCTAAATTTAAAACTTCCTAAACTTTAAATGCCTAGGTCTAAAAAAAGAACAACTAAAAAAAACCCCAATTAACTATTTTTTTTAAAGCTCCCAAAGGGGAAAAAAACTTACCCAATAGAACAGGGGTGTCCAACCTTGGCAACTTTAAGACTTGTGGACTTCAACTCCCAGAATTCCTCAGCCAGCTTTGCTGGGAGTTGAAGTCCACAAGTCTAGGCAGGAAGGCAGGCAGGCAGAAAGAGCTGCTCACCGATGAGCTTGATTGCAGGCAGTGAGATTCAGTTGCTTGCTGATGCATGGATTGCGATCATCATGTGATCAGCAGCTAAGGTAAGCAAGCTGGAGGCTGGGAGGGGGGGGAGAAAAAAAGAAACTTTTTTTCTTTTACATGGCTCTGGCGATCCAAGCTGAGTTGCCTGATTAGCAGGCAACTCAGCTGGGATGTCAGAGCTTGGCTGGTCAGAGCCATTTAAAAGAAAAAAAAAGGCTCTGATGATCGCAGGGCTCAGCTGGGCATGGGGGACAGGAGCAGGGATTTTTGCTACCGGTTCTCCGAACTGCCCGCCGCCATCGCTACCTACTCGCCCGAGCCGGTCTGAACCGGGAGCATTTCACCCCTGCCATTGGCACTACCCAAGGGTCTTTGTCCCTTCTAGTGGCAATTTGGTTCCTAAATCCTCAGTTCATTCAGAATTGGTTTTATGCCAGGCCAGATCGTTGGTTTGTCTGGTGGCATTGATTTAGTTCTAACTGGCTGCCGTTCTCAGTGTTTTCAGGAAGAGGCTTTGCCTTTCATATCATTTGGTGCTGCTGCCTTTTTAATGGGAGATACAAAGGGATGAACATTGGAGTTTCCCTTATCCCAAATTTTAAAGGGTAGGCGTACTCCTCTGCTGAGCTCTGGTTTTCATCCCAAACTCTTTTCACTGAGTCTCCAACACACCAGAAAATTGCATGCTCAGTGTAGAACTGGATCTTTACAATAATCCCTTGATGCTATCTGCAAGTGGTGTCTCTGATGTATCCCCTGGTCAAAAAGGTCCAGTTCCTGAAAACCTCAGAGAATTTGGTTTTCAATCCTGAGGTGAATCAAGCGTGGCAGAAAGTGTGTTCATGTGTGATTGACAATTCACACAGAGAGAAACAACAGGAAACAATCGCAATGCATGAGCTCCTTTCCGATCTCAGAGAGTCTGGTGAATTCCCCAATTGTCCAAGGCAGTGGGAAGCTCTTTCTGAGACAGATCTTGGCACCCTGGAAGCAGCATTTTGAAAGTGAGACAGATGGAGAGGAATGGTGCTGTGGCATTGTGATGGATTAGGGAAAATTTAGAGAACAGCACAATTTTTCTTTCAGCCAAGAGTCACAGTACCAAACTGCTACAGATTAAGTGAATTAAGTACCTGTAATATAGATAAGTAATACTGCATTCATTAGAAAATAGTTCTCTTTTTATGACCCTCGTGTTCTTTTTCCTCATCTCAAATGATTCCACCATTTCCCAGGCCTGCCCTGAACATAAGAAAACTCCCCCCCATCCTGAGCCAAATTTAAACAAATCACCAGTATTCAGGGATGGGCTTCAAAATTTTTAGCAAGGGATTCTCTGCCCTGTTGCTGGGTGAGCATGGCCATGGTCGACCTCCTGTACCACGGCGGGGTGTGTGTGTGTGTGTGTTTTTGCCCTCCCTGGACTCCAGAGGCTTTCCTCGAGCCTCTGGGAGGCAAAAATGGCCTCCCCAGGCCTCCCCAGGCTCTGGAGGCCCTCTGGAGGCTGGAAATGTTTCTTCTGGTAGGCCCATTTTCACCCTACCCAAGCCTCCTTGCATGCCTTACATTTACCTGCATCCAAAACAGGCTGTGTGGGGACTCCTGGGAGGGGTGGGGTGCGGTGAGCGGGGCCAGCCAGGAGTGGGATTTGGAGGTTCTCTGAACTGCACAGAATCTTTGCTAGAGGTTCTCCTGAACCCCTGTGAACCCCCAGCAGCCCACCCCTGCCAGTATTAAGAAGGCTCTAAAACAAAACCTGAGAACTCAATTGGGGTGTATCAGCAGGAAAATTCCTCCCATTGATCACCGGGTCTTAGTTCACCTCTGCCTGATGTCAGCTAGTATTGAGCATTCCTCCTGTTCTGCTGCTCAGCAACAATATTGTTTTATTTTACAGACCAATTCAGAGTTTACTAAAGCTTGTTCTGACCTAGGCTTCCTGATATAGTAAAAAGCACACAATTAGTCCCAAAACCCCCTTTTTTATTTTAATGGCTGTGAATTTCTTTCATTCACAGCACGTGCTGAATCACCAAGAGTTTATAAATAGTCCAACAGAAGTTTGTCACAGTCCTTCGGATAAGGCTGGTAAACACCCACCTTTATCTTCTTTGACATGCTGCCAAAAACCTAATTGGCAATTATCTTGGCAAGGCCACACGGAAACAGAGTCA